TGTGTACCTGCAGCTGGCAGACAGGCTGAAGGCGTCAGGTCCTCAGTTTCGTGCTGGAGGAACAGAGCAGCTCACTGAGGACCCCGAGTGGCTGGTGGAGCTGCGGCACAGATATGGTCTCCAGCAGGTGAGAGACCCCTTCACAGCACACGGGCCCCACTGGGGACAGCCTTCACAGCACACGGGCCCCACTGGGGTCTGCCGTGCTGGAACAGAGGGATCGTCTCAGTTCTGCACGTTTCGGGGACCACGTGCTTTGCTTTTAGTCTAAACCTCTGCTCCAGGGAGCCAGCTTGTAGAAATTCCAGTGGGGGCTCTCTACACTTCTTGGGAGAGGGGGGTGCATAAATATCGGGGGACATAGGGGTACATAAGCAAGCAGGTGAGGGGGTGCATGACCGCCAGTGTGGGTGCAAGGTATGAAACATGAATGGTACTGCACGTGCTTACGCGAAACTTAAGCCGGACACTTAATCCTTCAGGTGTTTTCCTGGTGTGCACTCAATGTCGGCACCCCCTCTCCTAGGTTTTTTCATGAGTTCATGACCCCCTGAATCGCCGACAGAATCTGGCCTCTCTGTCCCTCTTTCTGGTTTTCTTTACTGAAGACTGAATACACCACTGACACACGGGACTTTTCTGGGTGGCAACATGAAATCAATGCTTCTCTTTCGTAACAGGCAGCTCTTATTCCTCGGGATGCTTTTCCGGGTGAATTACGTCAGCAGGGGCACCAGGCTGCTGATAGTGTCTTGAAAAGGGAGCTTTGTGGCACAGCAACAGGAAGGCAGTCGGGAAGGCGCTGAGCTTGCAGGACTCTTTCAACAGCAAGTGCAAACAGCATGGCTATATAACGCCTGTTGTCTTGCCAGTTCACAGCTATTAAACTGTAAAACTGCTACAGGGGTATTACAGCAGTTGTATAATGTTATGGGTTTATATTCAAGTGTTTATGAAGCCATTTTATAAAATGCGTCATTACTGATTGAAAATAGAGATACAATGTTTTACTTTGCTTGACATGTTGCACTAAAACAAATGTATTTATTTAGATGGGGAGCTATGGTGACTGTGACAAGTATCAACCACCTGCTGATGAAACCACTAGCCCATGGGAAGATAATGGGATCGACACAGGTAAACTGATGTGCACCGACAGGCCGAAGTCCTCTTACAACAGCACGTGTCTTTTCTAGTGGGAGAATGAGATGCCTTTTCACTTGGCAGCCACCAGGGGGCAGACTTGAGTGTCTTGTGGACCACATGAAGGAGACCACTGTTGGGAAGAGGCAAGGTTTTCCACTTCCTGTCTGAAAAGAAATGACAGCTGGCAGCAGCAAGGTTAACTAAATCACAAAGGGTCACATCTGATCTCACTTCGATCGTCTGCTGTTGAAGAATGTCCCATGCAGGGAGTTTGTTTGAGAAAAAGAAGACCTTCAGAGTTGTCTCTTTGACACATCCAGGGCTAATGATTTGTTTCCAGCGAACCGTGACGGGTGTGACATGGAGCTCCTGCCGGGATTGCTGACGGCCGAGGCACACGAGCACAGTCCAGCTGAGCTGCTCCCCCAGTACGAACTCCCTAAGGATGCGGAGCAGCACCCCGGCCGCACCTGGACTCCTCCCCAGGCGGCTGCAGAACATGCACACAGGGAGCCTGCAGCGCCCCCTCTGCCCGGAGGCCAGAATTACCACTTCCGGGTCCAAGATGCCACCAGCCCACAGGATGCCCACCTGGATTCCAGCAATCCTGGGCGGCTCACCGACGGTAAGGATCGCACAGGGTGGTGATGGGATCCCTGTGCCTCTCATAGACACAAATGACACCCTAACCGGTGGATGTCAATTCTAAAATACCAACATTACATATACAAGCTGGGTGCAGTTTTTTTGTTAATTGTTTTGTTCATCTTGCATTGACCCACCCCCGTGCCGTAGATGGGACTGAGACAGATCCTCAGCCAGCTGTTGCAGTGCTTGATTGTACAGACACAGCTGACGTCTGCTGGGTCTTAACTGACAGCTTCGCTGGGCTGACGGAGCCGGTCTGAGCTCTAGTGCACAGGCCTGCGGGCAGCAGAACTCAGCGGGGGGCAGTGAGGGTTTATAAAGGAATATGGGCATGGAAAAAAATGATCTAGAATCTACCTATTTTATATAATAATAATAATAATAATAAAATGAATTTGCATTTAAAGAAAATGGACTTGCAGAGTTTTAGAAGGGGCTGCACTGAATCTGCAGGTGATTTTAGATTTGTGACTGAGAAGCGAAAGCTACACTGAATTGAAGAGGAGCTGGGATGTTTGTGCAGCAGGGGAGAATAAAGTCCTTCTTCTCCCTTGGTGTCAGCTTCACAGCTGCTGTCCTTTGTGCTGATAGTCAATCCTGTTTCTCCTTACAGGTTGCGAACGGCGCTGGGGGGACGGAGCTGTAAGTTTTCCAGCAGGTTCCTGTTACAGCCCCTGCGGCTCACAGGCCAAGTGAGGCTCGGGTTCTCCTGCACATGTGCGAGATTTGATACTAGAGCAGACGCTGCACTGGGACATGATATTTGAAATCCTTAAGATTTAAAAAAAAAAAAAAACAACCTCCTGTCCTGTTTCTTGCAGTTAGTTACCTTGGCGTGTACTATAACTCTGCAAGTTCTAGCCTACACCTGCTCGATACTCATTACTTCACGGCTGGTGAGCATTGCCTTGGGGGAACGATCATGTCTGATGTCTTGAAAGAATGAGCAATGATCGGCACTGTGTACCGTGAAAACTCTGGACACAGAAAATAAGAGTAAAAGACGTGCTGTGTCCTTTGCAGTAGGATTGTAGTGAAGACCTGAACG